TTCTCTCGTCTCCTGCTGCAGTTTCCAAGGTTCCCTCGTCTCCTGCTACATCCTCCAAGGTTCTCTCGTCTCCTGCTGCATCCTCCAAGGTTCCCTCGTCTCCTGCTGCAGCCTCCAAGGTTCTCTCGTCTCCTGCTGCAGTTTCCAAGGTTCCCTCGTCTCCTGCTGCATCCTCCAAGGTTCCCTCGTCTCCTGCTGCTGTTTCCAAGGTTCCCTCGTCTCCTGCTGCAGTTTCCAAGGTTCCCTCGTCTCCTGCTGCAGCCCTCCAGGCTCCCACGCCGTCTGCTGCAGCCCTCCAGGCTCCCACGCCGTCTGCTGCAGCCCTCAGGCTCCCACGCCGTCTGCTGCAGCCCTCCAGGCTTTTACGCCGTCTGCTGCAGCCCTCCAGGCTTCTACGCCGCCCGTTGCAGCTCCCCAGGTCTCCTTAATGCAGGCCGTGTTCCCTTTGGCCCTGTGTTTTGGACGGCCTCCCGGCCGCCCCCTGACCTGGCCCGGTCTGATGGACAGCCTCCCGGCCGCCCGCCGGAACAGTGACTCTTAGGGACGATCCCTTGACCGTCCAAATCCCTTGTGTCCCCTTTTTCTCTGGCTCCTCGTGTCCCTTTTTCTCCGTGGCTCCTCGTGTCCTTTTTCTCTGGCTCCTCGTTTTCTGGTTCCTCGTGTCCTTTTTCTCCTCGTGTCCTCGTTCTCTTTGGCTCCTCGTGTCCTCGTTTTCTGGTTCCTCGTGTCCTCGTTCTCTTTGGCTCCTCGTGTCCTCGTTCTCTGGCTCCTCGTGTCTCGTTCTTTGTGATCCCTCGTGTATTTTCTCTGGCCCCTCGTGTCCCTTTTCTGGTTCCTCGTGTCCCTTCTCTGTCTCCTTGTGTCCTCGTTTTCTGGCTCCTCGTGTCCTCGTTCTTTGTGATCCCTTGTGTATTTTCTCTGGCCCCTCGTGTCCCTTTTTTGGTTCCTCGTGTCCTCGTTTTCTGGTTCCTCGTGTCCCTTTTCTCTGGCTCCTCGTGTCCCTTTTCTCTTTGGCTCCTCATGTCCCTTTTCTCTGTCCCTTTTCTCTGGCTCCTCGTGTCCCTTTTCTCTTTGGCTCCTCGTGTCCCTTTTCTCTGTCCCTTTTCTCTGGCTCCTCGTGTCCCTTTTCTGGCTCCTCGTGTCCCTTTTCTCTGGCTCCTCGTGTCCTTTCCTCTGGCTCATCGTGTCCTTTCCTCTGGCTCATCGTGTCCTGTTTTCTGGCTCCTCGTGTCCCTTCTCTGGTTCCTCGTGTCCCTTCTCTGGTTCCTCGTGTCCTCGTTCTCTGGTTCCTCGTGTCCCTTCTCTGTGGTTCCTCGTGTCCCTTCTCTGTGGTTCCTCGTGTCCCTTTTTCCCTGGTTCCTCGTGTCCCTCTTTCCCTGGTCCCTCGTGTCTTTTCTCTGGTCCTCGTGTTTTCCTCGGGCCCTCCACCCTTGCAGTGCCACCCTCCACCCGCCCTAGTCCTTCGGGAAGGGTTTTTTTTGGGGATGCCTGGAGGCGTCCTTGGGGGGGGGGGGGGTACTGTAAGGATGTTACTTTTCTGTGGCCCGGTTTGTCTGTTTCCCTCGTGCTTCCTCATTAGTTTCCATTGTTGCCACCTGTGTCTCGTCCCAGCTGTTTGTCATCATGTCTCGTCTTCTCCCTGTATTTAAGCTGTCCTATTCTGTCTTGTTCTTCGTCGGGTCGTCTT